GTATATGTAGCATACAAGTATACTACAGTCTAATAGGAAAAGGGATTTATTATACTCAAAAGAGAAAAGTATTATAGGCACTGTCTTCCTGAACATAAGTCTACATTTGTGTTAGACCTATAAGAGTAAGAACAATCTGGCCTCCCAAACCATTATTCTTTTACATTTACAATTACAATTGTGACACAAGTCTTCCAGTGCCTCACTTTTTTGTGTGCAGAGTCTTAGCTAATTGTGAGCACAAGTATGGTACCCTGAGAAGATCAAGGTCTAAGATTCTGACTTACAGGTGAGGTCATCAAGAAATATGAAGACTGTCCCCAAACCTCACAGTCAGTTGTGCTATGAAAGGTAGAGAGACGGAGCTGGAGAGATGGCTCAGCAGTTAAAAGCACTGGCTGTTCTTCCAGAGGACCCGGATTTGATTCCCAGCACACACTTGGTGGCTAACAACTGTCTTTAACTCCAGTTCCAGGGGATCTGACACCCTCATCTGGCCTCTGAAGGGCATTGCACACACATTGGTGCACTAACATACACACAGGCAAAACACTCAAACACATAATAAAATAAAATAAAATAATAAATGAAAAGTAGAAAGTACTCTGGGTTTGGACTTTCAGTTCTACTTACAAGCCAGGTTTCCATGCTGCCCCACTGCCTGGCCAGAAATGACATGGAGCAGAGGTCCAAGTTCTGCATGAGTTAGCAAGAAATGGTGGAAGACTAGGACCACATAAAAACTGTGTATGGCACCAGGTGTGGTGGTACATGCCTTTAATCCCAGCACTCAGGAGGCAGGGGCAGGCAGATTTGTGTGAGTTCAAGGCCATCCTGGTCTACATAAAGAGCTCAGGCCAGCTGGGGCTACAGGGAGCCCAAGACCAAAAAACAAAACAAAACAAAATGTATGGAAGACAGATACCATACAAGCCTGTGCTAACAGATACAATTTCTTTGGGAAACTAAAATTTTTTTTTAAGTAGGCAAGGGAAAAAATTACCCACAGATACATTACCAAATACATATCTAAGCAACCACAATGACGGTCCATAAGTGACCACCCCAGGAACCAGGGGCTTCATTCTAGAAAATGAATGCATGTAACAATTATGAAAGGACAAAGAGCCATTCTTTCATAAAAATTAACTGCCTAAGACACAAAGAAATAAATATACCAGTCAGTCATAGGAGCCATTTCTACCCTGATAGTTTGAGAAAGTATTCATTGCCCAACTCCTCACCTCTTTTACCAGAAAAATGTTTATTAAACAAGTAAGGAAATGGGAAGAGTAGAGAAATTCTAGGTCTTTGAAATAAGCCTAGAATACAATCCTACCACTTAGCTGTGTGGTTTTGTGTGAATTAGTTCTCTTTGCTGAGCCTCAGTTTCCTCTGTAATGATTTCTGCCTCACAGAATTGTTTTAGGAAATAAAACACTATCTTCAAGAACATTCCCACAATAAGAGCTTACTATAAATGTAAATAAATGTGTAAATATATAATCCACATTTGCATAAAAATAATGCATGAAATTTAAATAATAATAAATAATATAGAGAGAGAGAGAGAGAGAGAGAGAGAGAGAGAGAGAGAGAAATGGAGATGTGAAAGAGCTAGAAAATGGTAAGATGGAGAGACAAGATTATACCATAAGCATTTATATACTAAGTGTTTTGGAGTCCATGCTGTGTAAGAAAAGTTTAACTTGTAACTTTAAATACATTTAGCTATTTGGGGCAGACCTCACATACATTACTACTAGCAGCAAAGAACCAGTGCTTTTTCTCCCTGTGAGCTCTCTGGTTCCTTCTTGACCTTGCTTGGCACTGGGGAACCTGGGCCTCCCTAACTTCACATCCTTGGCTGGGAATCTTCCTTAGAGATGGGCAACCTTATTCTGCATGGTAACCCCACATTCCCATCTTGGGGCCTCTCTGTCTCATTTCCAGTCAGCCTCTTCTTCCTCTGGGGAGCAGTATTCTTTCCCAGCTGTCCCCCTGGACACGGGCCTCCCTAGCTTCTCTTCCTGTCATGCAGTCCCCAGTTTTATTGACTCCATGTCTCGACAGTGCCGGAGCAGTGTGAATGGGTGAGCATGGAGGGGAAAGCAAACTGTGTTTAAAGTCAACTTCAAGAAGCTTTGGGATGCATGCTTGGATTCCTGCTTTCTCTCCAGCACCATGTTTGGGGCAGAACAGGTGCTCAGTATGTAGCTGTTGGAAGGAAGAAAAGGAAGGAGAGAATGAGGGATAGAAGACATTTTAAGAGGATACAATCCCATGGAGATAGATCACTTGGAACTTTTTCAGCCCCAGTGACCTGGCATTTAGTGGATGTTCATGCTTTGAGTCAGTCCAACAAAAAAAATCTTGTTGAACACTTGCTCTTTATGTAGCACTCTGAGGGCTGTGGGTCAGAACTGTCTGATGGGTATGATACCAGTGCTGACACTTGTAAGCTTCACCTGGAGGCTTTCTAAAATGAATGATGGATGTGGCAATTTAAAAAATATATAAATTTTCCCACAATTGGGCACAGAGCTGGGAGTCAGGGGGATAGAATCATTTGGAGAGGATGAAGAGCTCTGTGGGCCTTCGCTCCTGAGACAGTGACACTCTGGGTAGTCCAAGCCAGGGGCTTACCTTTCTCTGCTTCCGTTTCTTTATAGAAAACAGGACTGGGGAGGCCTGGGGTGCAGTTCCATGCTGGAGCACTTGCTAGTATGTGCAAGGTCCTGGGTTTAACCCTCAGCACGCCCCCTCAAAAGAGTGGATATGTTGGACCTTCTCTGAGGATTCCTTCTGACTGGAAATTCCATGTTTGTGGGCCATCAAAACATTTTACTTGAAAAACTCAAAAGGTCAAAAGTATTTGGAAGTACTAAACAAGGCAAACTACCTTTGACATAAAACAGGTAGTGCCAAAGGACCCAAGAAATCCATTTTAATCCGTAATGGAAGAAGTGCTGCTTACCTGCACTATGCACTGAATGAAGTCTGGCACAGTTAACATTTTGGGTCTTGTTATCAGCCAAGTTAGTTACAGAGCTGCCATTTTCTTTTTTGAAATAACTGTGACTAACACAGTAGAGAAAAAGGTGGGCAGAGTGTTGAAAATACCAGTCGAAGGAGCTGGAGAGATGGCTCAGCTGTCAAGAGCACTGACTGCTCTTTCAGAGGACAAGGGTTCAATTCCCAGCACCCACATGGCACCCTACGAACTGTCCTTAACTCTCATTCCAGGGGAATCCAAAGCCCTCTTCTGACCTCTGAGGCATTGTACGACACGGGTGCACTCACATACACACAGGCAATACACTCATACACATAAAATAAAAATAATAAAATTAAAAAGAAAAAGATAGAGAAAATATCAGTAGGGAACTGGGATCTCTCCAAATCATTAAAGGGACATTCTAAAATTGGAAAATACATGTCTCTGAAATTCACCTCCTAGGCAGTTTTAACAGTAGACTGGACACGGGAAGAGAGAGTAAAGTAAATTAAAATATGGGTCAATAGAAAATGCCCAAACCAAAGGACAGAAATAAGATTTAAAAAACAGCAAGCATGCGTGGTGGCACATACCTTTAATCCCAGCACTTGGGAGGCAGAGGTAGCTGGATCTCTGAGAGACTGAGGTCAGTCTGGTCTACATCAGGAGTCGCCAGCCAGCTGGGGCCACAGGGAGACCCTGTCTCCAAACAAACAAACCAGAGCTGGGTAAAAGACATCATAAGGAGGTAGGTTTACTTGTGTATAACTGGAAACCCAGGAAAAGCAAGAGTGACTAGGGCAGCAGTGGTGTGTGAAACGCTAATGACTAAGAAATTTTTGAAGCCAATGAACATATCAGCCACAGATTTAAGAAACTCAACAAAGCTCCCACTGTATAAACACAAAGAAAACCACAGATATTTTGAATAAGTCTAACTAGGAAACACCAGATAAATAAGGAAGATCATGTCTCTCCTATGCTCAAAAGCCTCTGGCGTAGGCTGGAGAGATGGCTCAGTGATTAAGAGCACTGGCTGCTCTTGAAGAGGATCCATATTATGGGTATCTGTATGTAGCTCAAGTTTGAGGCAATCTGATGCCCTCTTCTGGTCTCCATGGGCATTGCACACATGTAGTGCACCTACAAACATGTAAGCAAAACCCTCACACATAAAATTTAAAAGGAAGCCTCTGGTACTTTCCACTTACCACAAGCAAAGCCTAGGTCTTTTGGCTGACGAAAGGTCTATGCAGGCCACCCAAGCCTGTGACCACATCTCTGGCTCATCTGCTGGCACCTGTCCTTTTCCCATCCTGCTCTATACAGGCTGTTGCTGTCAGGCACCTCCTGCTCAGCATACCTGCAGTTCATTCTGCTCTGCACCTTCTTTCTCCAGATGCCCCTGGGCTTGTCCTCAAGCTGAGTGAGGCCTTCCAGGTCATCCTACTCAAACTGCTTGGCCTTCGCTCAGGACCGTCTATTCCTCTTTCCTACTTTGGTTTTCTCCATTGTACATCATTTACAGTACCCATTTACTTGGTTTACTGTCTGTTCAACACTAGACCTAACAGTGGGATTGGTGTCTGTCCTGTTGACTGCCAATTTTTCAGGGTCTCAAATAGTGTCTGACATAAACACATGCTTGAACATTTGTGGAATAAATAAATGTTCAGTTAGGATTAGGATTGTTTCCTGCATCACCTGACTCTTCTTTGAAATTAAAAGCAAAAGCTGTTGCCCCACTGACATGAGGACAAGAATTCTGACTGTTTTACAGGGGTGGTGACTAGTCTGTTACTCTAAATGATTTAATTCATTGAAACATACTCCAGAAGTCCAAATCAGTCCCAATGTTACTCAAACTCATTTACTCTAAAGGATTGTTGAAATACTAACAGGGAGACCTAACAGTGGGAAGACAAATAAGCCATCTTCATATTATGGGATTTGTTTTTAGAAACAAAGGGAAGTCTGGACAAAATGAGTGTTTTGTACTTACTCATCTGACATAATTTCTTTGCTAGCTGGTAGTCTCGGCCCATTTCTGCTCTCAGGAACTGGAAAACAAATTCTTCAGATTAGTGGTTTCAAGAGAGAATGATGTAAATGTCAATTATAAACTGCCTTAAAATACTCATTAATGATTAGTTACTTTGCTTTTCAATACATTTCTCCATGAGTGAGTCTGCAGTCAACTAGCCAAGCATATTTATGTTTTAAAGATTTGCTTTTGAATTGTGTGTGTGTGTGTGTGTGTGTGTGTGTGTGTGTGTGTGAATGTATTCCCTACATGTGTGGGTACCAGGAAGAGGGTGTTGGCTTCCTGGAGCTAGAGTTCTGGTGGTTGTTAGCCACTCAACATGGGTGTTGGGAATCCAACTTGGATCCTCTGCAATAGCAGGAAATGCTCTTAACCAAAGCACCTCTTCAGTCCAAGCATTTCTAAAGACTTGTAATGGTAGCTTGGTGTGAGAGCCCAGCCCAGTGTTGCTTGACCATAAAAATGATGAGGCCAGAGCCGGACATGGTGGCGCATACCTTTAATCCTAGCACTCAGGAGGCAGAGGCAGACAGATCTCTGTGAGTTCAAGGCCAGCCTGGTCTACATAGTGAGTTCCAACACAGCTAGCGCTACAGGGAGATCCTGTCTCAAAAAAGACCAAAAAAAAAAAAAAAAAAAAAAAAAATTAAAAAAAAAAAAAAAAAAAAAAAAAAAAAAAAAAAAAAAAGAGGCTGATTCAGTTGGCATGACATTAATCTCTTACTTTAAATATTTCTTTGGTTCAGGTTTCTCTGGCAATGTAGTCCATAAACACATGGTGGACTGGAGAGATGGCTCAGCAGTTAAGACCACTTATTGCAGAGGACTGGAGTTTGGCTCCCAGAATATCAGGTGGTTTACAACTAGTGGTAATTCTAGCTCCAAGGGATCCAACACCCTCTTCCAGCCTAAACAGGCACTGTACATATGTAGTGTACACACACACACACACAAATAAATCTTTTTAAAACATATATTCTTGTCAGAGTTTAATAAGGCATTTTTAGTTTCTTTCCTGTTTGTGGCTTTATTTTTAAGCTTTTGTTTTGAGACAAGGTCTTATGTAGCCTAGGCTGGCCTCCAACTATAGCTCAGGATGACTGTGAAATCCTGATCTTCTTGCCTCCACCACCCAAGTGCTGGGATTGCAGGTGTGTTGCCAGACTCAGTATTTTCTTCTTTAATTTCAATTATGATATCTATTGGTTCATCTGTGTATTTTTCGAATATCTAGAACTATATATTAGTTTGTTTTTTAGTTGAATTTTTAATGAGCTTCTTCAGTTCTTTTTCTTGTTTGATTTGCTTTCAATTTTTATAGTTTCCAAAGTCAACATTTAGTTTACTTATTGTCATTTGTCCCTGAATCATCATAATTATAATCATCTTTGAAGTATTTATAACTTAAAGCTCTTGAGGTTGGAGAGACGGTTCAACGGTTAAGAACACTTGATATATAATCATGAGGATCTGAGTTCAGATCCCAGCACCCACAAAACAAGCCATGAATTTTTTCACACCCCTATAAATCCAGCTCTGGGGAGGTATGGTAGAGACAAAAGGATTTCTGAGGCTTGCTAGCTTCTAATTCATGCAAGAAAATGTGAACCCCAGGTTTTTTAAAAAAATATTTTATTTTTATTTTATGTGTATGAGTGTATTGCCTACATGTATGTGAGTGTACCTGTGTTGTGCAATGCCACGGAGGTCAGAAGAGGGCTTCGGACTCCCCTGGAACTGGAGTTAAGGACGGTTCGTAGCTGCCATGTGGGTGCTGGTAATCGAGCCCAGGTCCTCTGCAAAAGCAGTCAGTGCTCTTAACCACTGAGCCATCTCTCCAGCCCTGAGCCCCAGTTTTAGGGAGAGATCTTGCCTCAAAGGAATAGGTGGAGAGTGATAAGGACATTCAACACCCTCGTCTAGCCTGTGTGCATACACAGGCATCACCCTCCTCACCATACATATACAATCAGTAACACACAAATAAATAAATCTTAAAAAAAACCAAATATGGGCTGGAGAGATAGCTCAGCCAGCAGTTAAGAACACTGGTTGTTCTTGCAGAAGACCCGGGTTTGAATCCCAGTACCCACATGGCAGCTAACAGCTGCCCATAACTCCAGTCCCAAGGCATTCGACAGCCTCTTCTACCTATTCCTACCTATTTATTGACCTCCGTGGCCATTGTACAACATGAACAACACAGGTGCACTTACCTACATGCAGGCAGTACATGCATACACATAAAATAAAAATAATAAATAAAAAAATAAAAAGAAAAAACTACATCTTTAAGCGCTTTAAAACATTTCTTATTTAGTACCATGGTTACCTCTATTTTCCAAAGAATTATCAGTTTATTTATTTAAGTGCCATTTAGAGAAATATCTTTTAGTGATAACTGGTTTAAATTTGTCATCATAGTTATTTTATTTTTATTAATTTTATGTGTATGAGCATTTTGCTTGCATGTGTGTAAGTGTACCCATATTGTGCAATGCCTGTGATGGCCAGAAGAGGGCATAGGATCCTCTGGAACTGGAGTTAAGGACAATTGTTAGCTATCATGTCTGTGCTGGGAACCAAATTCAGGTCCTCTGCAAAAGCAGCCAGTGCTCTTAGCCACTGAGTCATCTCTCCAGCCCTATTGTTTTCTTAGTTTAATTGATCATGGATAAAGAATGTAATTGGTGTGGCTTGTGGCTATTGTTTACATTTAAAAATGTATTCACCAGTTGAATACCGATTCTTCATGTTTCTAAGATGCCACTCATGTGTCCTCTAAAGTCCTTCTTTTGGGATGGAGGTGTACCTCAGTTGGCAGGGCTCCTCCCTAGCATGCATGCTGTCCTGGGTTTAATCCCTAGCATGGCATAAATTAGGTATGACGGCATATGCCTGTAATCCCAGCACACAGGAAGTGAGGAGAAGAGGACCAGAAGTTCCAGGTCATACTTGGTTACACTTCAAGTCTGAGGTGAGCCTGGGTTATATGAGACCCTATCTAAAAAATAAGTGAATGTGTGAATGAATGAATGAATGAATGAATGAATATCCTCCTATTCCTCCTGCTTTTCTGTAACTTAAATTTCTGTTTCCTGAACTTCACAGTGTTTTGCTAGCATGCATTTCATTTTAGTGTAACCATTTCTATATGTGCCTGTTCTTAAGGGCAGAATTTGTTTTCTACTTATCTCAGAATTCCTTGCAACTAGCATGATACATGGATGAATAATTTTATACCAAAAATCTCTCTTCCTTCCTGTCTCTGCCTTACCAGAATCATCTTTCACCCATAACCTTCTGAGCAATGACTAAGTAGTCAGGTAAGCATCTCTATGTGGGTAAAGATCTTTTTACTAACTTTGCGATCTTTATTCCATTAATATATGCTAATTCATCTAATCCATTTACTAAGGTTATAATCTGCTTAGTTACTTCAGTATTTGTAAGCATCTTCGATTATAATCCACATGTAAAACTTACTTCTGCCATTAACTCTAGCGGGGCTCGAGACTCCTTTTTAGTATTACTACCTTTGTCATCTTCATCGTTGGTATCATCTTCACCCTCACTATCTGTTGAATCTGAGAACTTATCATTAGTATCCTGAAGGCAATCTTCATTATTTTTCTCCTGTTTGGCAAGGACTGCATCCTTACCTGCTTTACCTTAAACAGAATACAAATAATGTAATCAATAAATGAAAATTTCAGATGTTGAACTGTGCCACCTCCTGTTAGCATCTATGAAGCTGCTATAATAATAAAAATAACAATCAACAAACAAAAATAATCATACTTGGCAACATCACTCCTGCCATCCCTACATATATTGATTCATCGAGTTCTGTTGGCATCCCAGTGGGTTAGGCATGGTTTCTATTTCTATCTATTGATGATGAAACTGAACACAGGGGTCGGGGGGTGGGGGGCTATGAAATAACCCCTTCAAGTTCATGGGGCAAACTGTCAGGTCTGGGAATCAGTCTGGCTAGAGTTGATATTCTTTATTACATCCTATGTGATTTTTCCTAAAATATATAAAAATGTACTAGTAATGGCAATTTGAAAGAGTATTTACTACATGTCTTCTAAAACTGTCCCTTCTGCAAGCGCTGGCAGGTGTGCCTCTGGTCTGTGGACTCTCCTTCACAGTTTCATACTGAACTTCCTGTACCCAGCCCTTTCTTGAAAGACTCTGAATCCTCTTTGCAGAGAGCACAGCCACAAAGTACTCGAAATGATGGATGAACTTATGCACTAAAGGAAGAAATGAAGACATCCAGGAGAGCATAGCTTTAAAAGACAAGGCTGGCAAAACAGATAAGGAAAAGAGGCAAACTCCTGACTCAAAGCCAAACATGCTACCCTGAAAAATGAGTGACTCCAGCCCTTCCCTGGGCGTCATCTACCCGCTTTCATTTCATTCATAGTCTCCACAGAATCACACACTCCTGATCCTCCAGAGCAAGCCAGGTCTGTACACCAACTCCCCATACTGATGTCATTAGGGGAAGGTCATAATAGCTGATTAGGGACATCCTGTGAGGTCACCGGAATTGTCTTGCTCAATTCATAAACACAGCATTGTGAAGAAAGCACCCAATCCCTAGAGCCATAGTGTACGCTCTTGGGTGTGGTTAACTTCAACTTCAAATTATCTTGCCATTCATGCTTCATTATTTTTTGAATTCATTTTAAAATGATTCATAAAGCTGCACATATATGGAGTACCATGTACTGTTTTGGAACATGTGTACATTTTGTCATGTTTAAATCTGGCTAAACATATCTAGTCAAACATCTGTTACTTCCTTATGGTGAAAACAAATTCCTTCACGCTAATTTTTTTAAATGTGCCTTTTCCTTGTCTGTCACCCTACTGTACAACAGCACACCGGACTTCTCACCCCCATCTGGTAACTTGTACTAAACGGTCTTTCCTTAGCCCTCCCTCCTCCCTCCTTTCTAGCCTCTGGTAACCATCTTTCTAGTCAGCCTCCAACTGCAGTGCTTTTGTATTCCAAGGATGACTGAGATCACATAGCACTTGTTTTTCTCTTCCTGGCTTATTTCACTTAATATAAAGATCTCTAGTTCCACCCAGGTTATATATAAATGACACATTTCATTCACTTTTAATGGCTAAACAGTAGTCCATTATATAAGTAAACCACATTTTCTGTATCTGTTCTTAAAACGTGGCCAACCATCTCCCTCTAGAATGTGAACTTTGTAAGAGAGAGGCCACTGTCTATTTCAGCAACTACCATATCCCCAGTTTTTAAACTGATACCCAGTACTCTGGCTTGCTAATACTTTCATAGGTATTTCAATCCATTCTAGGTTTAATACCCTACAATCATCATCTTATATAATGTGTATCCATGGATGCCGTACTAGAGTCTGAACAACTACTGGTTCCTCTGACCCACCTTAAAGCTACTATGTTGTCAACTCCCAAAGGTCATGGTTTCAAAGTGAGCTAAATCAGACTCAACTACTCAGTTCAATAAGACAAATGCTAGTGGTTACCTGTGCTTTCTTTCCTGAAGGAAGATGACGACAGATCAGAGTGTCTGTTTGTTATGATATCTTTACTTTCAGTACTCTTTGAAGGTATTTTATTTTCAGTATTTTTGAAAGAGATTTTATCTTTGTTCTTCTTTGAAGAGACTTCCTTTCTAAATGTTAAAGCAGAGTGAAAAGATCTCTCACAGCCTCAGCTCTACTATTTTATAGCAGTTCATAAACACACTTGTGCATATTACATTTAAATGAAAAACAATATGCTAACAATAAACAAATAGCTAGAGTGCAGTATCTTTCTTGGAAAAGCATTATAATTTTCAATGCTGGTTAAAAGTTCTATTCCTAAACCAGGCTTGGTGGCATATGCCTTTAATCCCTGCACCCAGGGGCAGAGGCAGCAGATCTCTGTGAGTTCAAGGCCAGCCTGTTCTACATAGCAAGTTCTAGGCCAGCTGGGCACACAAGGAGACCTTGTCACAAAAAAGACAAAGAAAAAAATTCTATTCCTACTTGGCATTTATTATTGTGTAATAATTTCTAGAATCTTTTCAGAGCTCTCCAACACTGTGCTGGGTAGTTTCAGTTGTCAACTTGACACACGGAGGAAGAAGGAACGTCATCTGAGGCAACTGTCTCATTAGATTGGCCTTTGGCCACGTGATGTCTACGGGGCATTTTCTCGATGTTAATTGATGTGGGAGGGCCCAGCCCACTGTAGGTGATACCATCCTTAGGCAGGTTGTCCTGGATTGTATAAGAAATCAGGCCAGAGGAGCAAGCCAGTAAGCAGCATTCATCCATGGTCTATGCTTTAGCTCCTGCCTCCAAATTCCTGCTTGACCACCTTGCCCTAGCTCTCTTGATGAAGGACTGTACTGTAAGCTGAAATAAAATCTTTCCTCCCCAAGTTGGTTTGGTCAGTGTTTTATTACAGTGATAGAAAGCTAAGTAGAACCAACACAGAACATGTACAGCAATGGACAGCATGTGCAAGACCTATACAAACTCAAACCAGATAGAAACCCAGCATATAACTGGGGAAATGGGTAAGAAGCCCTAATCTTACCTGAGGAACTATTGGCAACTGATTGCTGCTGGGTGACAGACAGTTGGTCTTATTTAAGGGAGTGATGCTAGCTAGCTAGCTAGGCTGACCAGGCTCCAGTGGATGAACTCACACCGAGGGACATTTGGGGACACAAACTTGACTCAATAGGTCTTAACATATGACAATGCATGAAATCCAGCAAGGGAGGGGGGTGTGGGGAGGTGCAGTTAGGAGAGGTGTCGGAGACCATGCTGCCTGGCAGCCCTCACTGCCCCCCAGGGCAAGCATCCTCTGGAGAACTTGCTGATCAGTCCTCCCTGCCCCCTAAGATAAGCAACCCTTCAGATGAGTCAAGATAAGTTTGAGCAACCACCAATTTCCTTAGCCTGCAACCAGACCATGGCGCCAGGTCCCCTCATCCTAAGGGACATTCATTAACCCGTTGAGACAACACCTTCCCTCCCTCTTCCCCACCTAACTTCCCGCTTCAGCCCGTATAAGAATCCCCGTGGAAAAATAAACTTTGGCAGCTTGATCAGAGTTCTTTGTCTTGCTGTCGTTCTTCGTGTCTCTTGTCCCATCATTCCAGGTCCCTGGGAGTTCGAGTCTCTGTCTCCCACCCTGCTGGCCGGGGCAACTGGTGCCCAGAATGTGGGGCTCAAAGCCCCCAGGATCCCCTGGAACATTGCTGATTGTATGGGTGGGCCCACCTGGACGGCACTGAGCCACCGCAGCCTGAGGAAGGTTAAGCACCGGCTCGCATAAGAATCACCGCAGCCTTACCCAGCTGTGATACAGATTCGAGGGAGATTTCTTCATGGCAACGATACGGTAGGAATTAATCATGGGACCAGAATTCAGTAAGGAAGATTTATTCATAAAAGTTCTTAAAGATTCTTTCAAGACACGGGGAAGTAGGGTTAAAAAGAAAGATTTAAAAAGATTTCTTGAATATATTGGGGAACTTTGCCCTTGGTTCCCCCAAGAAGGAACTATAGATGAGAAACACTGGATGCGTGTTGGTAACTGCCTCCAAGATTACTGTAATACCTTCGGCCCTGAAAATGTCCCAGTCTCTGCTTTTTCATACTGGAATTTGATTAATGATATTCTCAAGGTTTATAATCACTCCCCTGACTTAAAGAGTCTTTTAAAAGAAGGAGAAAAAGTTCTTAAAGAACACTCCCACCCTCCATCTAAGTGTCCCTCCATTATAATTGATCTCGAGGACAATGGGGACTCACAGGAGGCCCCTACCTCAGAGGGCCCCCAAAAACTAGTCACTGCCCAAAGTATTAAACTGGCCAAATTGGTCTTATTAAGCTCATGATTCAGAACCACTGTGTAGTATGTATTCTCTCCTTTAAATGCTGAAATTTTTAGTAATCATTTTTTGTTCTTGAGGAGAATACCATTATCTGCTACTACTGACAAAAATAATTCATGAATGTAAACTGGAGGTTATCAGTTCTGTTTAGTGAGTAGACATGAATTACTTGTGTGTAGTAGGGTGTGCTCTTTGCTGTGTGTTTTACTTTGCTTAGTTCAGAGAGAATTGATTACTGAGTATATGATTTAGGCTAGGAGACATGTAATATTGGTATTTAATAAAACAAATTATTCATATTCTCATCATAACATAAGTGATCTCTACCCCATGCACAAATATATGAAAGGAAACTCGAAGTGCACACTCCCTGATACCGGTTGTGTACAGCGAACACCCCACTGCAGACCTCAGCCTGTAACAGACATGGGCTCTTTGACAGGAGAAAGACAGTAGAGAGAAAAAAATCAAAAAGTTTAGATTCATGCACGATTGAAAAATCTGAATTATAGATCTCAGAAAATGAGATGCAGTTTCAAAACGCTTTGAGTGAAAAGATCTTGCTCAGAATTGTCAGAGACCATGCTGCCTGGCAGCCCTCCCTGCCCCCCAGGGCAAGCATCCTCTGGAGAACTTGCTGATCAGTCCTCCCTGCCCCCTAAGATAAGCAACCCGTCCGATGAGTTAAGATAAGTTTGAGCAACCACCAATTTCCTTAGCCTGCAACCAGACCATGGCCCAGTTCCCCTCATCCTAAGGGACATTCATTAACCCGTTGAGACAACACCTTCCCTCCCTCTTCCCCAGCTAACTTCCCGCTTCAGCCCGTATAAGAATCCCCGTGGAAAAATAAACTTTGGCAGCTTGATCAGAGTTCTTTGTCTTGCTGTCATTCTTCGTGTCTCTTGTCCCATCATTCCAGGTCCCTGGGAGTTCGAGTCTCTGTCTCCCGCCCTGCAGGCCGGGGCAACTGGCACCCAGAACGTGGGGCTCGAAGCCCCCAGGATCCCCTGGAACGTCGCTGATTGTATGCGTTGTTTTAATTTGTCTGATTTTTCACATACTATAGACCAACAGATGAATGATTTACAAAAGGAAATTCATAAGATGTCTAAATTTTCTATACCTTGGCCAAAATGTCTCCAATGGCTTGCTCTGTTCTTTGGCCCAATATTGATTGGCGTACTTCTTCTTATGGGAGCTCCAATAGCTATGCGCTGTATTGTAATTTCGATTAATAATACTGTGGCCTCTATGACCACTTCCTTCTTACTTTTAAAAAACAAAAAGAGAGGAGATGTAGGAAACCAGGATGCCAGGCCCTAGGGTGAGGTGAGCCTAAAACTTAAAGGTCCAGGCTGCATTTTCTGCTAAAAGGGAGGGGCACTGAAAACAGTGGCTGTGATAATCCCTGCCTTGTAGAACACTGTTGGGCTGGCAGGAGGAAGTGGCCTGGTATTAAAGTGCAGGCTCCTTGCTCTGTGGAAAAGCGTCTTGGTAAACAACCCTTAGCTCATCTCCTTGTCCTGAAAAAAATAACTCAGCTATCCCTGGCTAAGAGATTAGGCCAGGTTAAAGGTTTACTCCTGAGCTAAAAGCTAAAAGTTTACCATGCTTTTAGCCCTAAGAAAGAAAACATTGTGGCCAATAAATTACTGGATGGGCATTGATAACCTTGAGTAAAAGTTTAAGAATCCTTCTGGTGCCAACTAACAGACTAAATGTCCTGTTTCTTTGTACCCTAAATCTTTATATGTGACTGCCATATCCCATGTGACTGCTAGTTCCTTGGGATGTATAAAAACCATCTAAATTCTAAAATAAATCATCCTGTTGAAAAAAAAATAAACAACAAACAAAC